TCTTTTCCATCATTTACAATGCATCTGGAGCTGGAAAAGAAATAAGGATGATAGAAGAATAATTGGTGCCTCTGAGTTGTGATATTGGCAGAGGATACTGTGTATTGAATGGACTAAGAACAAACAGATCAGGTCTTAGAAGAAGTGGGACCAGAGGGCTCCTTGGAGGCAAAGATGGCAAAGCTTCATTTCACGTACGTTGAGCATGTTGCTATGAGCGGCTAGTCTTTGAAAAGGGTTACCATGCTTAGAAAGGTGGTCAGCAAAATGAAGGAAAACCTTCCACAAGAAGGATTATCATAGTGACTGTAGCAATGGGCTCAAATATATCAGAGATGATGATGAGGATGGCATAGAATAGGACAGGGGTTAGATCTGTAGTTCATAGGGTCTCTGTGAGTCAAAGGTGACTCTACAGCACCTAACACTACACACACACACACACACACACGTGTGTGTGTATTTATATCTATCTATATACATTGGTATTCATTCGCACTCATTGCCATAGAGTTGGAACCAACTTATAGCTGACTCAGAAGTGTATTTTCAGAGACTATAAATCACCGCAAGAGATTTTCCATCTTTCTTTATAAAAGCAACAGGTAAATTAATTCAGCTTGCCTCTTCTTGGGTTGGTAGTGTAATGCTCTATCCATCAGGATGCCAGAGCTACACAACAAACTGGAATGTTGTTGTTGCTGTTGTTGTTAAGTGCTGTTGAGTCACAGGTGACTCCTAGTGACCCTATGAAGGAGAGTCCTCAACACTTGTGTGTCTCTCTCCAGGTTCATAGGGTTTCCAGAGGCAAGCTATTATGGAAGTGGATGCCACTCCTCCTTCCAAGCAACAAACTGGAATAAATATATGCAAATAAAGTAAATATGACAACATACACAGTAGGTTAAAGCAGAGTTCCTGATTTTATGAAGCGAGGTTATGGCCCTGATATTACGGACTAGAATATTAGCATGAAAGAAGTTGGTGATAAAAAGGGGGAACAAAGAGGGGGGGAAGCAAAGCTCACTAATTTGCCTGAATAACTGTATATAATATGATCATATTTATGTATTTCTGTGTATAAATTGTATCTCTGTCTAGTTCTATATAAGAACCTGTGTGTGTGTGTATTTGTACTTAGAAATTTTCAAAACTTAGCAATTTTTACAAAGAGACGCTCAAGACCATTTATGACCCTAATGAATATGTAAATTTTATTTAAGATGCTCAGATACTAAGGGATTATCAAGTAGTTATTTATACTTCTGCTCATGTTACATTAAAGGATCAGTAATTACATGCTGACTGAAAGAATGAAGAGACAGTATGCAGAGCAGTCTGGTTTTGATGTGGTGAAGGGAAGGGGAGAGAGAGATAATAGTAGAATGCCCTTTGGTGGTACGTCAAAGAAGAGACTATTTTAGATGGATAAGGAGCAGCAAGATGGCCTTGCCAAGTTGTGTAAGGACCCCAGATTTGAAGGGAAAGGGTGAATGAACAGAGCTAGTGGACCAGGACTAGTAGGTAAAATATACCTGTGGCATTACCTAGTCTATAATTATTTTATGAAAAGGAACCATTTCTTTTCAGATTATCTCCAATAATATAATAATGTCAGAGTAAGAATTTCAAAAACATTCACAACTCTGGTGCAATAGGTTTCTCTTAATATATGATCTCTCTGACCCTGAGTTTGTAATTCTCTTAAGTTGTTTTGTTGAGCTACTGTCTTGCAAAGAGCTTAGACAACTTGTAAAGCAAGTAAGTTGACTAAAGCTTTGTGCATATTGGTCAATTACAATTCAAACTGGGCATCTGTGGCCCACAAGTTGAATTTTGGAATTCTATAAGTATTTAAATAGAATTTCACGAAGTTTTGAGGGGGCACCTCTCTAACATCTAGAAGAGCTAGGAGTTGAGTTTGATTTTTGGACCCAAGGTTTCTGTGCTAGGAACATGCTAGGCATAGGAGACAGAAAGATATATCAAGGAGGAGGAGGGCAGTGTGCATGAACCAGGAGGCCAACAGAAGTGATGGAGCTCATCTTGCTAACCCACAGAGCAAGATAGAACTGATGGCCTTGTGACGAGAGGTTTACTGGTGGGCTGGGGTGCCTCTGGACCCAGGTCAGCAGAGCAAGAAAGCTATATTTTCCCAAGCAGGGAAGAAGCTAGAAGATAAAATCACAGACATAACTGAAAGTGAGGGCTACCTGTGGCACTGCCAAGAAGGAGCTGACAGTTGTTTCAGTTGGAAGTTCATTTGTTTGCCAAAGTGTATCCTGGATTGTGTCCTATTATATCCAGGTGTGTCATGATCCCAAGTTGCAGCCTGTGATTATGGTCTGTGAGTTATTTGTGGTCATTGCAATGCAATATCAAGCCCAGAAGAGAAGTCGAGAGTGCTGTGGTAGTATCGGTTGTTGTTAGAATTGGTAAAATGTTAGGGAATGGAGGTACGTCTAAACCTCTATCTCACAGGAATCAGCTTTGGACAGCTACTGCTGACTCTCATCTCTCTCCCTGAAGTTAGATGAGACCTGACCCTCTGCCTACTGCTAATGGACAGAAGCTTAGCTGAATGAACGAGGGAGTGATGAAATGACTTGACTGCACAGCTTACCAACTTCAGAGCCCTGAGGAAAACACACATGCCAGGTTCATGTTAGCTGTTGTTATTCTACAAATATTAATTGATATTATTGTAATTAACAGCCCCGCCTCTCCCCTTGTTTTCCTGTCAAACATTCTTCTAGGTGGTATAGCACTGGTCTGTGCGTTGCTGTACAGATGTAACTTGTGGTTGCTGTGATGCTGAACACTGGGACAGTGATGTGCCAAACGTGGTAATGGGTACCCATGGTGCACAGTGTTTGCTGGAGTTTCCTGACTAAAACAAGCCTGGAAGCAGGAGCGGCATCCACTTCTGAAATGACTTGCCTCCGGAAACTATGTACAACAGTGCTCAGGCCTTTCATTCATAGGGTCACTATGAGTTGTCTACGACTCGATGGTACCTAACAACAACAACAACAGCAGCATTGTAATTAACAGTAATATTAACATTAATTAGAAATATCTGAAAGAGAGGCAGACAGTTAAGAGGAAGGGAATAAGACAAAAGAAGAGGGAATAAAGGAAGGGGGAGCAATCTTTCTCTCTTTCTTTCTGACTCTTAGCTAAGGTGTAATACCTTATTGAGCACTGGCAAAAGATATCAACAGTTCGTCCCTGAGATTCTAAAAAAAGTGTGTGTGTAACCTATTTTTCCTAGAGAGGATTCCCTTCCTCTGGATGAAATCTGGATGTGATACTTCAACAGTGTGAGTGGTTGTCTCTCAGCTCGCTTCCCAGAAGCACTCATGGGTCAGTAACACCTGCCCACCAGCCACCTCTGTCTTAGCCTGTCACCTCTACCAGGTCCCGGTGGCTGATCATGTCAGGCCACCAGTGGGATCAGGCATAGTCATCCACAGTCATCCTGCCCAGCTGTCTGAAAGGGATTGGGCTATATTTCCAACAAAGCTAATCCTATGCATGCTAGTGAGGGAGGTGATTTTATTATCTATGGTCTCACTTCTCCCTTCTTATGCATGCTTTCAGCAGGAAAGGGACCTTCAGTCTTTTTTTTTTTTCTTTCTATTTTTTTCAGGAAGAAATTGAACCAACCATTCATTGGCCCAGATTTGGGTCTTCTACATAGTGGGGGAGGGGGATGTTTGGCATCTGGGGAGCTATAGGAGGGGTTACAAGTCCCCAACTAGTTCCTTGTTCCCCCAAGACTACCCCCCTTAAACCTCTGCATTATTTATGAGTTGGAGGTATGAGGTCTCCTACCACCAGGTGAGCTGCACCCCAGCTCTTAAGTGGGGAGAAGAGCCAGCAATCACTAAGAAGTGTTCCTGGGGACCAGACGCCCCCCTCTTTGGCAGCTTCAATACAAACAAGTAGACACACAACATTCATTCTGGGGTGGGGGGGGGTGGGAAGGGATACCTGGAGGGGAGCCGGACCCCAGACACCACACACATGCACACACACAGACATAAATAAACGCTTGTACCACAACGCCCCTTCCTTCCATTTGCAACAGAGCCAACATCTTTCTGAAGCAGTTTAGGAAGAGCGTCCCAACCCCAAGCTCTGTTCAATACAACTTGAAGGGAGGTTCAGAGGCCACAGGTTTCAGGCGGCTATGTCTTAGTCACGGTGCACCGGCTGGGCCCAAGATGGGGTTATTGGAGGGGATTTCCTGTGCAAACATCTCTCTCCAGTTCCACGCTGCCCCCATCCACAGGCCCAAAGCCCTCTCCTCTCAGCTCCCTAGTTTTTCTCTAGCCACTGGGGATTCCTTTGGAACCCCCTTAGTACAAATGGCCAATGAGGTCTAAGGATGTGGTTGAGCCACCGCCCCCTCCCCCCAACCCCTGTGGTTTCCTGGTATCTTGAGGAATGACAGGAAAGGGAAGAGGGAACTGGAGAGGCAGCTGATGAAATTTGGGGAAGCTGTCGATTTGGTGCCAGGCTCTGTAAATGAGGCGACGACCCTGGAGAGGTGGTTCCAGCCCCTGGGGACAGAGGGGCCAAGGCAACAGGCCCAGGGTCGCCGGGAGAAGGTGGCAGGAAGGGAAATTCAGAGTGGAATCCGGAGCAGGCCAGAGTCAGAAGATGGTCAAGATGTTGAGATCTTCTGTACCGGTTAATCACCCTTGCCCCGACTCTACTTGAAGGCCTGTCTGCAGTCACCCTGGCCCTTCCTGAGGCTCCCAGGACACCGCAGGATCCAATTCTAATGGGTCCCACTGGCCACTGGTGCGGGCCTCCCTGTGGCAGCTAGTTCTGCCTCCAACAGATGTTTGCCTTGGCCAAACCAGCTGTGCAATGTCAATACCGCCCAGGCCCCAGGAGTGGGGCACCCCACCAGGCAGCCCCTCTTATCATAATGTCCGAGGCCATCTAGTGCCTCTCCACTCTGGCCTGGTTGGTGGCCCATCGATCCCTCAGACTCCCGTGTTGCCTTCCAAAAAAGTGGGCAATGAGGGCATGTGGGTGCCCCTCTCCAGGGAGCTGGAGCTGCGCAGGGCCAAGAGGCGGTGGCCCGGCGTCCCATCCCGACGTCCCTGCACCCCCGCCGCCCCCCGCCAGCACTTGAGGGGCCACAGCACCTCCTGCTGCAGGTCCCGGCTGTGCCACGTGTAGATGACGGGGTTGAGCAGCGAGTTGAGGGTGGCGAAGGTGAAGAAGTAGTGGGCTTTGTAGAGGACAGGACAGGAGCGGCCGGTGCAGGCATAGTCCCGGAGGAGGATGCTAAGGGCGCGAAGCCAGCAGGCAGTGAAGACGCCCAGCACGATGGTGACCGTCTTGAGCAGGGCCAGCGTCTGCGGGGCAGCCATGTAGGCGTGGCTCGAGCGGACAACGCAGTAGATGCGGATGGACAGGACCACGATGGCCAACAGGCTGACGGAGAAGATGGTGACCACGCAGAGCACGTAGTGTTCGGCGTAGAGCGGCAGGACGGTGGAGCAGGAGCCCTGGTGGCCCAGGCAGTTCCAGCCGAGGATGGGCAGGCCGCCCAGGGCCAGCGAGATGAGCCAGGAGGCCGCGATGAGCAGTAGCAGGCGGCAGCTCTTGTTGCTGCCGTACAGCTTGACCTTGGCAATGGCCACGTGCCGCTCGATGGCGATGGCCAGGAGGCTGAAGACGGAGGCGGAGAGCGTGACGAAGGCCAAGCCCTCGCAGGAGAACCACTGCACGCGCGTCAGCCCCAGCGTGACCGGGCTGGACAGCAAGGTGTTGGCGAGGAAGGCCACACCTGCCAGGAGCTGGGAGGCGGCCAGGTTACCCAGGAACAGGTGCATGGCTGAGCGGAACTTGCTGGTACGAGGCACTGCGATGATGGCGCAGCAGAGGAGGATGATGACGGTGGGGGCCGCCTGGCGGGACGGGATCTCCTGCGTGTCCGGCGTCTCCTTTGTGTATTTGTAGTGCTCCAGGACCTTGCTGGGGCTCAGGTACTCCGAGTAGGTACCGCCCATGGTGGGGCTCCGTGGCGGGCTAGGGCCATGGGGCTGTCAGAGCTGCCTAGGCCCAGGTTTCTGCCCTGGCGGGGGCGGCCTCAGCATCTGCGTCCCAGGGGGGCAGGACTTGCCCTCCAGGTTCAGCTGCGTCCCGGGGCTGAGGACCAGGGACTGGAAGGGGGGCGAGGGGAGGAGCGTGGAGAGAGTCACCGTCTCGGCCCTCAGCTCGCCCTGCCCTCCTCTCCGCCCCTTTCCCGAACCTTCAGTCTTTTAATTGCCCAGAAGTATGTTGTTCTCTACATCTGGCCACAGTATGAAGGTAATATCTCTTGGACTAGTTGTACTATATCTTAGGAAATACAGATAACTGGCCAAGAATTCGAAGGACGTGTAACAGAGTATCTGCTAAACTCCGGATAACACCTCAAAGTACTACTTCTCCAAGAAGACTTACTTTATTACAGTACAGACTTTAGAGAAATTATGTTGCTATGCTTGAAGCTGATAAGACAATGGATTCTAGTTCAATTTTCTGAACATGAATATGTTTGATGTAAGTGGTTCATTGAATCCAGGTGCTTAAGTGTTAGATGATTTTGGGGTGTGATAAGTATAGGGTGGATGATGGCTGCTAAGAATTGAGCTTGGATTCTGTGTCAAATGGCACACATTTGGATAGAAATAATAAATTACACAACTAAATGTAGCTGAAAGATTAAGGAATTACAATACTTATCAAAGTTGTCAGACTGTGGTTAATTCAGCAACTGGAGATGTTCCTCTTTCTGTGGTACTCCATGTGGTTGTAAGGTGGTTTTAACTCCGCAAAATTGGCACTTGTCAAAGAAAGAGAAGAAGGTTTACTGAGTCTCCAGACATCTCTTTTATCAGGGAGAAAACCTTTCCCAGTATAGGCTCACTGCCATCACAAATACTGCCAAAATTCTAATGGTCAAATAGAATAAAAATCTATTTCTTGCTCATGTCATAACAAGAAGAAAAACAACAGGAAAAAAACATGGCTGTTGAGTTGATTACAACTCAAAGCAACCTCATAGGATAAAGTAGAATTGCCCCATAGGGTTTCCAATACTGTGAATTTTTAGGGGAGCGGACTGCATATATTTGTCATCAGAGCACTTGGTGGAGTCAGCAGCTGCCCTTTAAGTTGGGAGCTGAACCTTTAGTCACTGAACTACAAGTGCTTCTTGTTCGTATTATGGTGATAATGCAGGTTGTCTGGGGTGGGAAGGATGTTGTTTGGTCCATGCAGACACACTTGGGGACTCTGGCTACTTCTGTGTAGTTGTTGTTGTTGTTATGTGCCATCGAGTCGCCTGCGACTCATAGCGACCCTATGTACAACAGCCCTAAACTCCGCTCTGTCCTGTGCCAATCGCACTGTCTCTGACACTCCCATCCCAATTATCCCAGTCACTGAATCAATCCACCTCATAGAGGGCCTTCCTCTCCTGCGCCGTCCCTCCACCCTCCCAAGCATGATGTCCCTCTCTAAGGACCGGTCTCTCCTCACAACATGTCCAAAGTAAGTTAGATGGAGCCTCAGAATCCTTGCCTCCAAGGAGCCACCCGGTTTAACCCTCTCCAGGACAAATCTGTTTGTTTTCCTAGCAGTCCATGGTATTTTCAATATGCTTCTCTAGTGTAGTAGCTACAGTAAACCCTGTTGTTGTCGAGTGCCATTGAGTCAATTTTGACTCATAGTGACCTCATGTGATGGTGTAGAATCACTCCACAGAGTTTTCTTGGCTATAAACTTTATAATAGATTGCCAGGTCTTATGCATAAATGAAGTCAAAGTTCAAACTTCCAGTTACCAGCAAAGTGCTTAGCCATTGCACTACTAGACTCCTTCAGCATCCCGTAGGTTCTCTGACTAATTTACTGAATCCTCTTAGAGACCTTTGAAGTCTAGCTAGAGCCTCACAGGCTGGAAACCTACTCCATGGGGGTTAGTAATCAGGTAGCTGGGTCAAGAAGGCATGAGAGGGTGGTAGCAGGTGATAGAGCTGCCTAGAATAGGACGATATTCTTAGAAAACCTCACCTTGTTCGGAGTGACACCCAAAGCTTACTCAACAGAGTTGGAGCTCTATCTTGGATCTAGAGTATCCGAGGCCACAGGACTCAAGCACAGGAAAGAAGGCAGAGCTTTCTAAATTAGTCTGAGCTAAGAAACAGCCTGAGAGAAATACAGAACAGCTAGGAAAGTGGGATAGAAAGAGTAAGAAAATAGGAGAACTAGTCACAGTGGGTGAGAGAAACATCTTTCTGATGGATCTATAACAGATAGAGAACAGAATTACCTCTAGGGACATGTTGGATGCCTGCATGTCCTAGGGATGACTCGGTTTTGCCAAAACAATATTACTAGTTATTGTGCTGTTGTTGTTAAGTGCCATCGAGTCCAGTACTCATAGCAACCCTATGAACAAAAGATCTGAACCCAGTCCTGTCCTGCACCATCCTCACACTTCTTGACACACAAGAGCCCATTGCAGCAGTTGCAATGTCAGTCCACCTGGTTGAAGGTCTTTTTCTCCTTTGCTGACGCTCCACCCTTCCAAAGGGTGTTATTCTCCAAGAAATAACATCTCCTAGCAACATATCCAAAGTATATGAGCCGAAGCTTCATCATTCTTGGCTCTAAAGAGCACTCCAGCTGCACCCTCTCATTCTCTTGGCCATCCATAGGATATTCAGTGTTCTTCTCCAACACCACAGCTCAAAGGTGTTAATTATTTTCTGTAATCCTTATTCACTCTCCAGGTCTTGGATGCATAGCTAGTAATTGGAAAGATTATGGCCTGAATCAGATGCACCTTAGTCCTCAAACTGACATCACTACCCCTTAATAATTTGGAAAGGTCTCTAACAGCAGATGTTCCCTGTGCAGTGTATCTCCCTATTTCCTGACTGCTCCTATCAAAAGTGTAAATTGTGGATCCACACAAGATAAAGCTGTTGACAGTCTCAATCTCTTCTCCATCCATTATGACACTGCCTATTGCTCCAGTGGTAAGAATCTTTGTTTTATTGATATTGAAACACAATCCATACTGAAGGCTGCATTCCTTGATCATCTGCAACAAATGCCTCAAGTCCTCCTCACTTTTAGCAAGCAAGGTTATGTCACCTGCATAACACAGGTTATTGATAAGTCTCCCCCCAATCTTGATGCCACACTCCTCTTCATAGAGTCCAGCTTCTCAAATAATTTGCCGAGCATATAGATTGTAACACTGAATTAATTTTGCTACTGTTAATTGTCTAGATTCTATAATTTTCTTTGTATTTAATGTGTAAATCTGTTTTGGTTTTGCAGTAGCCATCAGAGCCACTCACGTATATCCAGTTTCCTCTCCTTAGGACACAATGAAGAGCTCTGGGGATGCAGTGGTTAATTAGCATATAGTTCCCATTTCCACAAGACCTAAGTGAAGACATGAACAGGAAAGGATAAAATAATTTTCCACCTCTTACCAGCAGAGGGACTCAGACAACAGCTCATCTTGGGGTAAAAACTCACACTGGAAATGGTTAGTCCATACAGAGTTGTACTACTAACTCAAAGTCACTTCTTTCTGATGTTTCAAATTCACCAGCAGCTCCACAGAAGAAAGATGATCAATGGAGGGTCAGCTATGACTTGATTCTGAAGCAAAGGCAATGGATTGAGTTGGACCGGAGTTGTTACTGGTGGTGCAAAAAAGGTTATCACACTCTGCTGCTGACTGAAAGGTTAGATGTTTGAGTTCATCCAGAGGTACCTCACAAAAAAAAAAAAAAGAAAACAAAGGTTTGGAAATATACTTCCTAAAAATCAGATATTAAAAACTCCTCAGAACAATTCTACTGTTACGCATGTAAATACAAATGAGTTCTTGATGAGTGAAAATGTACTTGACAGCGGCTAGTAAAACTGATAGAATAAGCTGTGTTTCAAAGAGATCTTTGAGTTGCCTCTCAGAGTTGTTTAATTTTGTTTTCAATTCAATGATGATAAAAAAATTAATATAAGCATTTTCTGGATCATGTAGATAATTACCTAATGCTGATTTCATTGCCCACATTTGCCTTTGCATTTATGATTGTGTCAGTAACAATTAGCACTACCATAATTGACGTAGTCTAGTGAGAAGAGAAGAACAGAGGGGAAATGAGAACGTAAATGGTGCGTTCCTGCCAAGTGAAAACCAAATGACTACACAGAAGTCAGTGTGACTACGCAGAACAGGCCATGGTTATTGGGAGAATTACCGGGTGTCACAGGACACACAGACTGGCCAAACTCGAACGACTTGTTGAACACAACCATGTCCTCATGATGATTCCGTTATATCAAAGTAATATTAACTGTAATATTGAATTAATTTTGCTCTTTAATTGTCTAGAACCTATCATTTTCTTTGTACTTAATCTGAAAATGTATTCACTTTACGGTGGGCCATCTGGGCGCCTCATTTATATCCAGTTTCCTCTCCTTCTGGACACATTCTGGGGAGCTCTCACGGTGCAGTGCTTAATAGCTCCACTGTTACCTGAAAGGTCAGCAGTTCAAAATCACTCTCTGTTCCAAGGGAGAAATATGTAACAGCATCGTGCTTCCTTGAAGATTAGACCCTCAGAAATCCTATGGAACAGCAGGACGGAGTCAGCATCTACTCAGTGGCAGTGGGGATGGGACATGCAGGGCAGGATGCACTATGACATTTCCTTCTACCAAGAGGGCATCATTAGTTCTAGCCCAGGGCCATGAGTAGGAAGTGCTGGATGTCACCATGAACCAGAGTCTTTAGTTGCAGTATGATTTCCTCTAGGGCTCTCTTCTCCTCTAGCAACATCTGAGATTGAGCCTTTGATGTAATGATTAGTTGTTCCAGACCTCCACCTTTCGCTGTGCCTGGGAGGAAGAGCTGTACGGACTGGATCAGGGATTGCCTTTACATTCTAACTTCTGGTTGGATACGACAGAGCAGGAAGAGAAACATGGTGCAG